TTATTATGGTTATATTTTGATTAAATACAACTATGACGATACTACCTTCATTATATAATACATTATAAAGATATTACTCTCGTTATAAGTATAGTTTTAGTCATTTTTAATGTAAAATATACTATTATAATGATGCTTCATTATGTATCCATTTCCAAAAAGAAACAAGTATCGTTATTTCAAATAATGAGTTTCGTTATGAATATTTCAACAATATAACGGGTTCAAACTATCGTCCTAATGTGATATATAACCAAGATACAATTCGTTAACATATCATTCCATCAAAATACCATAACGAGAGCACATTCGTTATGATTTTCAACAAAAACGAATGTACATTCGTTATGGTTATATTTTTATTAAATACAACTATAACGATACTAGCTTCATTATATAATACATTGTAAAGATATTACTCTCGTTAGATTTAATTTTAGTCATTTTTAATGTAAAATATACTATTATAATGATGCTTCATTATGTATCCATTTCCGAAAAAAAAAAAAAAAAAAAACAAGTATCGTTATTCAAACAATGAGTTTCGGTATGAGTATTTTGACAATATAAAGGGTTTAAACTATCGTCATATTATGATATCGAACCAAGATACAATCGTTAACATATCATTCCATCACAATAACCATAACGAGTTATGATTTTCAACATAACGGATGTACATTCGTTATGGTTATATTTTGATTAAATACAACTAGAACGATAGTATGTTCATTATATAATACATTATAAAGATATTATTCTCGTTATAGGTATAATTTTAGTCATTTTTAATGTAAAATATGCTAGTATACCAATTCGCCATTACCTATCCATTTCCAAAAACAAAAAAGTGTCGTTATTTCACAAAAGAGTTTTGTTATAAGTATTTCGACACAATAACGAGTTTAAATTATAGTTTTAATGTGATATAAAACGAAGATACAATCGTTAACACATCATTCCATCAAAATAAGTACATTCGTTATGTTGAAAATCATAACGAATGTACATTCGTTATTTCATAAATTATAACGAATTCGTTATGGTTATATTTTTATTAAATACAACTATAACGATACTATCTTCGTTCTATAATACATTATAAAGTTATTATTCTTGTTATAGGTACAATCGTAGTCATTTTTTATGTAAAATATACTAGTAGAAAAATTTAAAATATACTTGTATAACAATTTTCATTATCTATCTATTTTTAAAATGAAACAAGTATTATTTCATAAAACGAGTTTCGTTATAAGTATATATGTGTGTGTGTGTGTGTAAGTATTTTTTTTTAAAAAAAAAATTGAACTAAAAGGCCCGCGACAACTTTGGTGTCGCGCTCGCTACCAGGCATCGCGAGCTTCCGCAGCCCAATTTTGGGTGTCGCGCCCGCGACGCGCAGGAGTGTCACGCCCGCGACGTCCTGGAAGCAACCTTCCTCGAACGGTTTGGTGTCGCACCCGCTATACACATTCGTTATAAGAAAATCATCAAATAACGAATGTACATTCGTTATGAAACTGCATAACGACTGTACATTCGTTATGCAAAATAAGATGCAATATCATCTCAAAAATGAAAAAAAAAACATGAATGATATAAAAAATCATGAAATATGAAGCCAACATGCTTATCAATCATAAATATGAAACCAAAATTCATATCAAAGTGAAATAAAAACAAATCCTACCAACAATTATTTCTTTCATCTTTCTCTACAACAAAGGAGATAAGTGCTTTGTTTTATTGTTCTTCCACCATGAACACACTTTCTTTTTTAATATGGAACTCAAAATTTATGTGTAATGATTATTTTTTTTTTTGTTTGTTTCCCTTCAAGAGAAAGCAGAGCAAGATTGCCTATGTCCTGTGTCTCTCTCGCGCACAGGCAAGTAAATTTGTTCTTTTTTTTATGTTGATAAGGCTATTTTAGGTAATTCATATATTTATATATCTTTATTTAATTGATGGGTCATTTAAACAAAAAAATTCTTGAGAAGGTCATTTTGGCCATTAACTCATTTGACTAGCCCCTTTAAAAAGATCCCCATGTCGTATAATGTTTCCGGTGAAAATGGAAGAAAATAATTTGGAAAAAAGAATCGGTTGAAATAACCCTATTAATTTGCTTAGCTTATGTTTGGTTCGGGGGAAAGGTAAGGGAGGGGAAGGAAGGGGAGGGAAAATTTTATTTTCCCCTTGTTTGGTTCAAGTTTTTGTAAGGGGCAGGGGTTTAAATTTTCCCTTCAATTCCCTCCTCCAAGGGAAAATGCGCTCCCCTCCAAAAGTGAGGGAATTTGGAAGGGAGAGAAAATTTTAACAACAAATTACTCTTTTGACCTTACTGTGAATTATTTTATTTTTTTGTTCCTTACATCATTAAGGATATATTTGTCATTCTAACATTATTT